GCTTCCCTGGCCTGGAGGTGCTCAGATTCCCTCCCTTGAACTGCACAGCTGGACTCGGAAGCTCCACTGAGGAGGCGTGGCTACCCCAGGTCATGGGCGAGATGCAAAGCCTCCAAAGGGTCCCTTTCTGGGCCTGGGCAGGGTCACGATGTGCTCCTCACCCCTTTCCACACTGGAGACTCTGAATATATTCTGCACCGCTGACCTCGTGTCTGGAACTAAGATGCGGGTGTGGACCCCAGATGCCCAGGGCCACCCATAGCTGTGTGTGCTCAACCATCTCGAGGTCGGATACTAGCTACCGTTGGATCCTCACAAACAAAAACCTGATATCCAGGATTAATTCTGCCATCTCCATAGCGAGTGTCCTAAGTGTGCTCTTAGCTCGCATCCTTCCCTATTCCATCTGTCTCCCCACATCTGGTTCTTCCACTTCAACTCTGCTCTTAGAGAGGCATCTCCCTGGGTGACATTGGGCCAACATCCACTCACCGTCCCCTCTGTGCTCATCCTCGCCACCCATGCCTGCACCATGCTGCGCCTTCTCCCTGGCTGCTTGTCACTGGCTGTAGTTGGGAGTTCTTTCCTTCCCACCTTCCTCCCCTGAGGAGGGGTCCCCAGGGTTGGGCCCTGGCTGGACTTGTCCCTGTCTGTCTCCCCAGTGCTTAGCATGGCATGTAGCACAGTGGGCTTCTATCGATGGAGTGAACAGAGCCCACACTTTATCCCAGGGGTCCGGCCAGCTAGGGTTTGAAGATTGGACCAAGGAGAGATCATTCATCAGGTGTGAGCCGCAGTTTGCTTTGGTGGCAGCCACAGCTTGGCAGAAAAGCACCTAGGAAGAGACAGGGATGGGTGGCTGTGGGCTACAGGGGCAGGTGTCCTGCAACTGAGGTGAGGCGGAGCCCCGTAACCTCCCTGCCTCAGAGTCCAGACCACATCCCTCCGTGGTTAAGTCCCTGCAAGTTCTGAGACCTGCTAACACTGGCAAGGGTGCAGTTTCACAGGAGACAGGGTGCTGTCTTTGCAGGGGGCCACCAGCTCCTGGAGCAGCCGGGACAGGGCACAGACCAGGGGCAGCCCACAGACTGAGTCTCGCCTGCTGCCTGCCTTTGTAATAAAGTTTTATTGGAAACATAGGTCAGGTGACCTAGTGGGGCTACATCGGAAGCGGGCAAGAAGCTGCTGCTGATGCCTGTGTGAATATAAAGGGATAGCAGAGGAACCAGGCACTTGGCCACCGTGCTGCACACCACCTTTGCCCAGCAGGGCCTTGCATTCCTTGGTGTCCAGGGCACAGCCCTGTGGACAGAGCTGTGCACCTGCCATGTGCGCTGGTGCAGGAGCTGGCCAGCGCTGCCTCACCCTGACTGTCCCCACTTCCTCTCCCTGCACCCCCAGGTCTCTCTCTTCCCTGGGGATGCTCATTTAGTGGTGTCCACCTCTATGATTGTCATCGTGTCCCTATTGGCTGACCTTCACTTGGGGACTTTGCTTGTGTTCGTGTCAGTTAGCATGGGCTGGACGCTGCTGGGGCGGCTGGTAGGACGGCGTCACGCACAGCTCTGTGTCCATCCCACAGCTCACTGTGGAGAAAGGCTCTGAGGTGACACTGAGGGACCAGAGTTGTTTGTGGAGATTTATCAGGGCTGAGTGAGATGTGAAGGCACGCTGTCCTCACAAGCTGGCCCCGCACAGTGCCCACACTCAGTATTTAGTCTGATTATCTGCCTTGCTGTTGTCACGTGAGTGCGTCTTGTGTAGGTATATCTGTCACACTTTGGGAGAAGGCCAAATGGAAGGTCACCAGCGGCACCCCTGGGTGATGGGGCATGGTGGGGGGGGCGAGTCAGATTCATCCAGAAGAGACTTGGGTGGGCACACAGCAGACAGAAAGGGAGAGAGAGAAAGCGGAAGGGAGGAGGGAGCGTAAGGGCCAGATGACAGCGAGTGAGGATAAGCTCCATGACAGAGAGGCTTGCTAGGAACAAAGAAGGGTTATTGAGGGCTAGTGACCAACACCCTGATTTCAGGTTAGGACTCCCAAATTGTCAGTATCGGCCTGAACTTTGCTTTCAGGCTATATACTTTTAAGGTATCCATAGCAACCACATTTCTCCACTCAGGAATATTGCAGGATTGCCACACAGTTGTTACCAGGTTTCCTTTCTTATGCACTCCAGGCACTATAGACCACCTGCCGGCCACAAGATGTTGTGGTTGGATGTTTACCCTACTTCCTAAGCTGTTCTGTTTGTTCCCTTTTCTATGGCTTTGTTTTCCTCAGTAGGTTTTATGGATACCTACAGGGGAGGGGACGAGGGGGTTAGTTCATTCACAGTGTAAGTGAACTTAAGTGATTTGTGTTAAAATCAAGGCACAGAAAGAAAATGGAGTCCCTCTTGCCCTATCAGGAGTAAATCAGTCCATGGGTGTTGCCTACTGCCAGGGAATGTCAAGAAGGACAGAGGGAGAAAAGATGCTGGGTCTGACCCTCAGTGGCGAGTGGACATTGGCTGGGTGGCAGGGGCAGGGGCAGGGGCAGGGGCAGGGTGAGTGTCACAGGCAGAGCAGGACCAGGCAGTGTGGCTGCCCTTGCGGTGCAGGGGAGGCCATGCAGGTGTGGAGGAAGAGGCAGCCACGCTGTCCTCTGGGGTCTGGCCACTGTGCTGTAATATCAGGTCTGTGTCCTGCGGTCATCTTTATTCACTTGCTTGGATTATTATGGATTACAATGACTTCATTGAGTGCTACGTGGCTGGTCCTGCGTGGCTAGAATGGCATGCTGTGGTTGGAATGTGTAGCCCTGGAACCCTGGTAGAAATGTGATCCCCGTGTGCTGGCATCAGGCAGAGACTGGGAGGTGTGAGTCTTGGGACTGTGTACTGGTGATGGAGGAGCTGGAGGTGACATGTGGAGCTGCCTCTGCCTCTGCATCCCTCACTCCAGGTGAGGACACAGGGTCTGGGCCCCTCTGTGGATGCAGCCACGGACATCGTCTTGTGCATGGGAGACCGGGCCCTGGCCGGGCAGGGCACCTAAGGGTGCCTGGTCTTGGATTTCTCCATGTCCAGAGCTAGAGGAAAATGCAGTTTTGTTCTTTATGAATTGTCCAATCTTGGGCGTTCTGTTAGAGCAGTATAAACAGATGAACAAAAGCATATCAAGCCTTTCACTGGGTCAGAGTGCGTTAGCATTATCAGTGACTAATAATCAGTACTGTCAACATGGCAGACCGGTTTCTGCTCCTCAAGAGGCTTGATGGATCCCTCCCCAGATTCCGACCCTGTGCCCGTGCTCTCTTAGTTCCTGCTCGGAATGTAGCATTGTGATGGAGCCCCAGGCCCTTCCGGCTCCTGAGAGAGTTCTGCGATTGTTTAGCTATGTCTGGTATGAGTGTGTGTGTGTGGGGGAAGCTGTGCACTGTGGTGACCCAGCTGGCCCAGGTTTTGGGGACGCATTGTGGCAGAAGGCGCATCGACCGAGAAAGACATCAAATAAATGGAGCCGGTGTGCTGGCGAGTGCCAGCTCTGTCAGAGGCCCTTCTGACTTCTGGAACATGGTTTGAAATCTTACCCAACGCCCATGTTGGTGCCTCAAGGATTTGGCCAATGTTTCTTAAACTTCAGACATTAGTACATTAATCTTTTCTCCCTATAAGCTTATTTTACATATATTTATATGCATAAATATTTTTCAAACTTTATATTTATATTTTTTAGGTAAAGTTTCCTATTAGTAGTTTAGGCAGGTAACCTGTCGTGTCGGGTATAAATAAGAAGATAAATTCATATACATCCCTAAGTATGGTGCAAACAAAGCAGCATTTTGAAATGTTAGCTGGTGTTCACATCTCTTGAAGCCGCATGGTTTGAATCTAAAATCTAAAGATCTGGACCTAAAATCCAGGCTCCCAAAGGTCTCGCGCGCTCAGAGACGGAGCCCTGGAAGATGCCAGGGCCACGGGGCAGGCGCCGTGCTCCCCCGTGGGCCCGTCCATCGTGGATTCTTGGGTGGATATGCTGTGAGCAGGTGGGGTCCGGCTGGAGGAGCTGGGTCCCTGGCAGGGCTTGGAGGGCGTGGCTCTCTCTAGCCTGTCCTCACCCTCTGCCTCCAGTCACCACCAGGCAAGCCGCTCTCCTCCACTGTCCCCCTCCTCCATGCAGTTTCTGCCATGAGCCCAGCTGCGCATGCCTGAAACCATGAGGCAAAACAGACTTTGCCGCCATTAAGTTGCACATGTTGGCTGTTTCCCCTCCACGACGCAGAGCCGACTAACGGCTGATCTCAGATCTTCTCTCCTTGCTGTGAGAGAATGGGAACCGTAAAAAGATATTAATGATATGCATGTATCGGCGATGGCCTTTTAAAAAAATCCTGGATGGATTCAGGAAGAGGAGGAGGGAGCGAGGTGACATGCAGGCTTTGTGGTTCTATGACACCAGGTCCCCTGGCATCTGTGGTCCTTACCATGAGCAGCTTGCATGCTGGATGCTTCGAAAACTGGCTGGGGCCCCAGCAGCTGCTATGGATTGGCACCCCCTCTGTAGGCGGTGTGGCTGCACTGGCATGTCCTCAGTTGGTGGCCATTCCTGTGTCCAGCTCCCTCCCCAGCTCACAGGACTCAGCGTGGCCTTTTCTTTCTGAGTGGCCACATCCACCTCTCCACTGGGGGAAGGACCCCCTCCATGATGGTTGTGGGGACAACAGGCTTATGGCATCTTTCTGGTCAATTAAGTCCAAGGGGAAGGATCTGGGGGTGGGAAAGAATTTCTGACAATTGAAAAGGACATAGCTCAAGGGAGGGTGTTCCTGCTTCCTGTCCTTGGTACAGTGTGGAGGGGGCTACTGTCCCTGTAGGAGGAGCCGTGGGCACTCAGGATAGCAGAGCTGGGGTCTTCTATGCCTCCTCAGCTGGTCAGCTACCCCCCTGGGGACCTCCCAGCTCAGGATGCCTTTCTTGTGAAATGACAGACTTGCCTCCTCACACCCACTCCTGTTGGCCGTGAACGGCACCCAGGGGACTCCAACAGGCGTTTTCTATCTTCTTACCAGTCACCCCCAGGTTGTCCTCTACCCCTGGCCTCATCAGCACATATGGAGTTGTCACAAACAGGATGGAGCAGCAGTGTCAACTGTGTGCCTCCTCTCCCCCGAGAGGACACTCAGACCTCCTTAAGCCCTTTGGAACTGGGTCACGTGGCCCAGAGCAGGGAGTCTGGAGACTGGGGATCTGGTGTTCCTGGCTTCACCCGTGACAGCGTAGAGAGCTGCTGGCGTGTGTGCCATGCACTGGCTCCCTGGATACTCCCAGCACCCTCTGAGAAGTTGCTGTTGCCTTGGGGCTCAGGCCAGGCCTATTGAGAGCTTCGCCACTGCGGTTCTGGGGGCCTGCCTTGTGTTAGATACTTGGCACCTTTTGGATGGTGAATCAGCCTTGACTTCATCAAAGTAAGTCTGCAGCTTTGAGGGGGCTTTGCTTGAGAGGGCTGAGGAGAGAGAGACCCCAGGCTTGGAAGCCAGAGTGAGGTTGGTGAGTCCTCGAAGGCAAGCATGGACCAAGGGCAGTAGCTACGGTGATTTATACATTCATCTGTGCGTCCATCTATCTACCCACCAATCCACTTACCCACACATCCACCTTTTTAACTAAATGTGCTGCTTTTCTGGCAATCCAATGTTAGACAGAAACATCTTTCAAGGCCTAGTGATATCAACTTCAAATTTTTCATCAATTCCGCTGTCTCTGTACAACAGAAAGTAATGCACCTGGAAGGTGATGTATGCCAAATAAATGTGGTCCAGTGATAGGGTGGATG